GAACACTTAACATAAACTGGCATCGCTTGAGTAATTGTAATTCTGCACGCATTGGCGCTCTTAGTAGCCAAAACATATAAAAGGGTATCGGAAAACACCAAGTCAGGCATTTGGGCAACATCACACTTCATTAGCGCAGGTTATCGCTGAAATGTGCCACTGGCCGAGCAGAGGCCCCAAACTTTTTCGGATGGGTCGGGTCATTTTGAATTTTGCATGCACATGGCGCAGACATTTGAAAAACGGCAATGCGAACGTACAAAACCAGACTCCCAGGCACGAAAAAACTGCAAAGTCCGTAAACAGACAGACAGACAGACAGACAGACAAGCATATGAGAGCAGTGGACAGGGATAGCAAGAGAGTTATGCAGAGATAGATGGAGGCACGGTTAGCCAGTGTCAAAGTGAAAATACAAATGCCAAATGAAAAACAAACCACGTAAAGTGGGCGGAGAGGTGGCAAGGGGGCCCAAAACGTTGGCCTGCCATAAATTATGCAGCACGCGGTTGCAGCAATCTGATGCCCTCAACGAAATGTCGGCTGCATTCAATTTGTGATACTGCTCACTCCATCTTTCTCGCTGTCCCTCTCTCACTCTCTCTGTGTCTCTCCCGGATTCGGTTTCCCCTTGTCGGTTTGCGTGTGTAAAAATAATGGCTGGTTGGCAAACTTTGCCAGTGAAGTTGCAGTTAGCAGTTGCAACTGCCAGCCACAACTTAGCCATGGAATCCTTCTGCCGCGTGTGCCTACAATGCCAACGCGCCTGGCGGCTCAATCACAAACTGCCTGTGGAGTTGGCATTGAGGTTGAGGACCAGTGGCTGCCATCCACAAAACTGCATGTCATCAGGCAATCGGCTATTTTTTTTCTTTAAATTTGATATCGTCAAAGCAAATCAGTTGACTTTGTGTCCATTGTTGGAAAATTGGCGGAGTTTCTTAACAAAGGCAATCAAATATCTTGTTAATCAAAGCCTCTAAAGTAAGTCTAACTTTATAGTCATTGATTTATTGTTTGTCTTAAAAATGTTACTCTTATTTCTAAAATATTTTCAAATATATTTAACTAAAATACATTTAACTATTAGAATGTTAATATTGCACTTAAAATGCATTTAGTAACGTGAACTGCTGTTAAAATATATATTTTGTAAAGTTTTTTAAAGTTTTTTTGTTCATTTTTTGATAAATTGCTGCAACTAATACATATACAGTGCTTACAAAAAGATTGTATTATGTATTTATTGCACTTTTAACTAAACGTTAACTAATATATTGGAGTATTATTAAAAATATTTCTTTAATATTTAACAATTCTATAAAAATATTTAGATATATTTCGCTTATATAAATATATATAAATATATAAATATATTTTTAGCAGTATATTTTTAGCCGTCACTCCAACTAGAAATATATTGAGCACTTTTGCGTTTTATAATTTGGTGGCCTTTAAAAGTGTACATTTATCAATCATACGCCACGGGTGCCAGCCAAGCGACTCGCCTCCAGCACGTACAACGAATGCATGTGGGTGTGTGTGTGTGTGTGTGTGTGTGTGTGTGCGCGTGTGTGTATACGTGTCAACGTATGTAGTCATAGCAAAGCATAATAGACTGCTTTCAATGCACGCACGCATGCCCTTATGCATTAATATACCCCAAGCCCAGTTTAATGCTGAGCAAAATATGTATACATATATATATTTATTCAGTTTTGGCATTTTTTTTTTATAGAAAATTAAAACGTATTAAAATATACATTATGTATAAAATATGCACTGCAACTAAAAGTATTTTTCACACAAATTGAGTTTGCCGCTTACAGCGAAAGTCGCCGTTGACGTCGACGTCGACGTTGATGTCGTTGCCGTTGTCGTTGTCGTTGTCGCCATCGTCGTCGTCATCGCTGCTATTGGCATTGCCAATTTTGCTGCCAGTCATCGGTTGCTGCCATTGACGACATGGAAAATTTGCTGCCATTGCCACGTCAGTCAGAAAACACGGCATTAAAAATAAAAGAAAAGCAAAAAGCAGAAGAAAAAAAAAAAAAAAAGAAAAAAGGCAAGCCATACTCAGCTCTGGGTGGTTGGCTGCCAGGCATAATTTAATAGAGTCGGTAATATCAATAAATTTTAAAAGCCTTTTAATGCGCCTCGATAAAAATAACCATGGTATATCTTTTTTGGCGACATAATTATGCTGGAACATTGACAGCATTGTTTCAGCATAGCGTTGCTTGGCGAAGCACCCGAAAACCACCACTAAAATAATTGTGCACCACATTATTCCGCTGCGGCGCTAAATATTAAAAGCTTTAAGCCAAAACATAGTTTAAATGTATTAGCGAGAGATATATTTAAAGCACAATATTATCTTTTACACAGTGAACAACTAGGGATATAACTAAATAAATTTAATGTGTTCAATTGCATTTTCTAATTTGCACAGCATGCTTGAGAGAAACCAAAACGAAATGTATATTTTTACATGCATGTATTTTGCGGGAAGCATTTCTAACAATTTGCCACATTTTATTTACTTCGCTTAAGCCACAAAATTTAAATGTGATTGCCTTTGCAACAGCAGGGACTTTAGAGCATTTGTAGCATACTTTTGCGCGCTCATGCACCCCAAACCAATGCCCCAACTTGTAAGCGGCACTCGCACGCTCTGAAATCAACTCAACAACATGTTCAACTCCAGCTAAGCCCCCATGGAAATTTACTCGCGGCAAGTAACAAAAAAAAAACAAAAACAAAAACAAGGGAAACAAAAAAAAATGTTAATAAGTAGCAGTGCGGCGATGGCAACGATAAAAAGTGTTGAGCGCTGTCGTTCATATGCAACGGAAACAAAGCAACAAACCACAAACAGGCAACCCCCACCCAACAACTTCACCACCAACTGCAGCCAGCCATCCAGCCATCCAGCCATCCAGCCAGCCAGCCAGCCAGCCGGTCACCATCATCAGCCAACCACCACCAGATGGAGCCACCAAAGACAATGACAGCGCATGCATCCCTTGTTGAAATGCAACCAAAGAAAATTCATGGTATTGAGGGAATGCCAAGCGAGTTGGGCAACAAACCAGAATAAAAGGATGTTGTGGCATTCCCAAAGATAGACGACAAAATACCCTATAATAGCGGACTATTTGTAATCAGCTGTAGGGCTGACTGAACGGAAAAAATCATATATAAAAAATATAAAACCTTTGTCACCATTGGTCGACAGACAATAAACAAACAGGCATTTCTTATTGTTAGTTAAATATATATAAATAATAATAGCTATTTAAATAAATTACCAGAAATTACCTATCTAAAAAATATCTAACGTTCTCTAAAAGTTGAGCATGCAACTTTATGCGAGTCTAATCATTTTATACAGGGTATAAAAAGCATCACTAGTCGCATAAGTAATGCAATGCAAAACAATGCAAAACAAAAACAGATCTTAGTGGTGTCGATCGCTTGAAAGAATTACTTCTTATTTTGTTAGACAAAAAAATCAGTAAATCTTAGATACAATTGTTATATTTCGATCATTTCAAGAAAACTATATATGTTAATAGAAAAATCAATAAGAGACAGCTACTCTTCTTAAATAAATAAAATGTAACAATTTAATATATTCTTTTAAAGAAAGAGGAACAGCATTTTTGGGGCTGTGTCATGTTTTTCGCTTTGATTTGACAATTTGGTAAGTGCTGCCAGAAAACTTGTTATTTTCATCTAGTGCAGTTTACAGTTTCTACAGTTGCAGTTTTGGGGGCCATTGCAACTTTGGTTACGGTTTGTTGCCAAGCTACACGCTGCCAAAAGACTTTGGCTTATAAAATATTTAAATATCTTCTTCTTTTTTTTTCGTTCCGGCTGTACCCGCAACATATTTGCACAGAACTTGCGGCCCGAGTCCTGTTGCTAAAGTTCAAGTGGCGACCCAGCGTATGCTATTAATATTGTGCGACAGCTGTTGGACTATTTAAATATTTATTCAATACGCAAAAAGTGTGGCGTTAACGCGGCTTATCAGCCTGTTTTGGGCGGGTTTCGTTTGGGCGAGGAGTGGGCATTCGCCTTGGGGCAGGAATGGATGTGGCGGCAAACACTGGTTGTCATTGTCATCGGCATGACAGTTGTCGCTTGATATGCTAATACGGTTATGGTTAGGTCGCTGCTAGCTTCTATTCTTTGCGGTTGTCCTTGTCGTTGGCTGAGAAAATTTCATTATGCCAATTACTTGCATCAAAGCTGCTGGGATAATTGACTTTGCTTAGCGGCAGGCAGCGCAACGTTACAATCAAGACCACACTCCTCTTTACACAAAAAGTCCCTCTACAGTTTAAAGTACTTGCATAAGACAATTTTGTGGGCATATTGCACACTAGTGTGTGTGTGTGTGTGTGTGTGTGTATGTGTATGTAATCCCGTTTGGGAGCATAAAATAATTAAACTTAATTGACAGCTTTACGGCACCACCTTTGTCTCCCAGCGTGCATGCAAGAGTATCCTTTAATCTAATGATCCTAACTGCGAGCAAGTGCCTGCTTAGCTTTTTAGTATATTGAGTCGATGAGTTGAAACTCTTGACACAAAGCTGACAACGGGGCCATTTAAATTTCGTGCAGCTTCCACCATAATAAACCAAAATTTAATGCACTATTTGGCAAACCATTTTGATTGTTATTGAAAAATGGCACTCAAAATCGACAAGCTGATAACGAATTGGAATCTGCATGAATTTCTCACAAACATTTAACTAAAAGTACTTTAAAATGTGTTTATTAAATTGGGATGTATAATTCTTGTGGTCATTATACTGAATACTTTCTTGAATTGCCACTTTAAACATTTAGAGTACAAAGAGTAAGCATTGCTTTTGTCGAATTATTTCTACTATTATTTTTCTGTAGCAAAAACTTCACTTTTTTCATTCAGTCAAAAATTCCAATTCAATTTAAAAAAATAAAAATAAAAAAAAATAAAATTCTTTTATTGAGCCAAAATGAAATTTTACCCAGATGCAGATGTTTGGTTTTGTGTGGACAAGCCCGGTTGCTGGGGCAAGTACGTAAAATATGCACCACATCACAGCTGGAAGCTGCCTATCAGACCGTTCACGCCCAAAGTCATGTATCATTGGCGTGACCATGAGGGCGTTAAGATGGCGGAGATACACCGCAAGGATCTCTATTTTAATAAGTGGCCCAAATCAAGGATACGGCCACAAGCCTGCCTGGGCATGCTCTATTCAACGGGTTATCGTTTCATTAAGCTTTGCATGGCACCACCGGCTGGTTTCAAATGTGCACCACTTCCAGTCAATTTGGCCACAGCTCATATTGTTAATGGTTAGTTTAAAAATGTGTTTATCTTTTTTAAGTGCACCCATATATCCAAGCATTTTTTCTGAATTTTTAGGGAAACTACGCAAAATGAAGAAACAGGAAAGGCTTGCGAAAAAGAAGGCTAAAAAGGCGGCCAAAGATGCAAAGAAAGCCGCTAAGCAGTATAAAAATAGGGGTGCTAAACGCGGAAGATAATAATTTATGTGAATTGTTTAGAAATCGTCAGCAGCCAATATATGATTATTTGATACATACACAATTTGATTGCAATGATACCACGTCGCATGCAACAAATGCGGCGAGTGCGATAAATGTTTAATTTACCAGTACATAAAGCATAATTACCGGCACACAAAAGCCAAAAGCTTCGCTACAACTCATTAGACAACAATAATTTGGTTATATGTATGTATATATATATAAATATATATATGTGTGTGTGTATCGTACATTTATCAATGTATTTCCCGTCGGCCGCATAATTAGCGTAGCCAAGCGCACTGATTAACTTGCATTCAGCGATTTTCAATTGAATTTTGCAGTTCGTTGATTCGTACAAAAAAACAAAAAACCCAACTCAAATGAATTGAAATAAAATGAACATCCATCGAGAACGATGCGACTGCACCAAACTGCAAAGTGCAATCAGGACCAGGATGTGGGTGTTTACCGGTATACTTGCTGGCAGGGGGACAGTGGTAGAGTGTTGGGGGCTGTGGTGGGGGATATAGGTTAATAAGAATACAAAACAGAATAAGAACGAAATAAAAAATAAAAATATGCAGCCGAGTAAATGATGAATGTAAAATGTGCCATTAATTAATTCGATTAAATGCTGCAATTCAGGCAATCAGACATAAAGCCAAAGTGAAGCAATAAACAGGACAACAGAAATGCACGAATACAGGACAGACACACACATACAGGACAGACACACACATACAGCCACTTAAGAGTCAGTCAATCAATGTTGCCACCACAAATGACTGAGAAGTTGCCACATCATCATATGACTGTCAATGGCAATCATTGCACAATGCTTATTTAACATATCTGGGAAGTTAATAGATTTCAAACTTTTCTATATATTGCTGATCTTTTTGTAGGTGTCAAAACTTTTTAGTTTTAGGAGAATTGTGGGAAATATTGTGGTTCGCCGTTTGTGGAGGGCGTTAGTCAAAATTATGCCTCGTCAAAAGGTGCCTCGCAACACACTCGACAAAAATAGTTAAGTAGGCTACATAAAACAATTCTCTAGTCGGATTAATAATATAATAGAAATACTTTTAAACATAGAATTTAAATTCTGTATAGTTTATTAATTCGGAACATTTTCAAAAAACACGTGAAAAATGGAGAAGAAGGAAACGAAACTGTCTGCCGATGAGCGACAAAATTTCATTTCAACTCGAATGAGTCAGCCGCTTTTTATGTTGTCACGTAAGATGCTTTAGTATTTCAGATCGGATTATTAACAAGCTAATCGCGATGCCCTCTAAGGTAATCGCATACGTGAAGATCATTTGGATAGCGTCCGGAAACAGTTCAAGCTCGCCGGATCACATTACAATGTGTACTGTCAACAAGGTTAGTAAGTAATCAAAGATGGATCGATATGTAATGATGAGTAATATATTTATGTCACAGAGAACCGAGGTAAAAAGTTTAGCGCTGCAACTTATGCACAATATCGGCATGTGACCGGTTTTGAGAAGACACCCGCTTACCCGTATCCGGAGAAACGTCCATTACACCACAATCGAGCGATGACCACGTGGCGTGGCTACCAACAGGCACCGAATCGATATGGGGTGCTGCCAGTACCGTATCTAAGTAGGATGGGTGCCAAGGGCACTTCTTTCGCCAAGATGCATACTAACAAGAGTCGGGTCTCGATAAAGCCACCACCCTCGCACTTTTACGAGATGCCAGCGGAGATCGAGCGTTTCTTCAAGCCCGAGAATAAGCAAAAGGGCATCTTCCTAACAAGTAAGCAATGCTTAATATTAAAATTGGAATCTCTTCCAATTCATATATCATATTTTTAGTTGATAATTTATGCTTTAACTGTTAACTTTCCAATCTCAAGATGCACGCGAACGTCGCCCAACCACTCGAATCATGATATCCAATTTGAACTGCTGCTGGCGCAATCCGCGCGATCCCGGTCCCACCGATACCAATGTTACTTCCCATGAGATCAGGCGCAAAATGCTGCCCGTTACAAAGGTGTCACCACCAAATCCGCACCTGTTTTTGCGTCTATCCTGCGTGCCCACGAAGCGAAATGTGCGACTGCGCCGTGATATTGGTTTCGAGCCGGGTCCGGGACGCTATGATATACGCTATCCGAACGGATGCGCCTGCGAGCGGGGCAAGAAGAGCATGCCACGTCTGACGCTGCGCATCGAGACACAGAAGCGCTACAAGTTCCGACGATTGCCCTACAAGCGGATCAATTCTCGAAAGTATTGCGAGCCCGACTGGCGTCATGTGTTTGGCCATGGACATCGGCATCTATTCCAAATGGGTAAACACGATTTACCCGCGGTGCAGCGCAAGAACCCAACCAAAAGCAAGAAAACGGAAAAGCAATTGAAATTGTTTGCCGATGGCAAATATATCAATATGCTGGACAATCCACATCGTTGGCCAATCTCATTGCGGGACTTCCCCGTGCCGCCATATGTGCCCCGCATCGTCTACAATTGCATTGCAAAGCGCATAACACGCAAACAGTTGCGCAACAATAAGAAAATCGCTTTCATGAGCGGCCAGGAGCGCTGGAAGGATGGTCCACGTTCGCTGCAGTTGACCTCACGACAGCTGGAGGAGATTAAAGAAAGATTGCCGGAGGATCGACGCCTGATCGATCGTCCGTTTGTGCTGCGTCCCGAAATGATGGTCAGTCGGCTGCAGCATGTGCCGCAGCACATGCAATCCACCTATTTGCCCAAGCTGCGCAAGCGTCTATTTAAATTTCTACCCATACCGGGTGCCCGGGTGCTGGTCACCGACAGCGATATACGTCCGGATATGCCCTTCGATCGTGAGAATCCGACGGGCATGTATAATGTTCGACTGGACGAGACGGTATTCTTTCGTGATTCTGTGCTGCTGGAGATGGAACAACAGCGTTTGGGCTTTCATCCGCAACTCGAGATAGAGCAATCCATACAATCTATATCGTCCAGGGGCTCAAGCGGATCGATGTTTATGTCGACAAGCAAAGTGTCATTGGGTCGTCGTGGCAGTAGGGTGGTCTCCGATCCGATGAAGGCGCGCTAATCGTATGTAATTACTCAGTCTTTTCATGATTCTGCTACTGCGCAGTGAGTCTTCAAAGTTTTGTGAGAATTAAAAATTTGTTCTTTATCCCGAAATTGGATCGCATACGAGAGAATCACGTTTACATAGTTTATGATTTATGTGCCATGCTCCAGTAAATTTTAAAGCCACCACAACTGTGTGCTGCTCCAGCTCCGCATGCTTCTCCTTTCGCTTTTGCCATAAAGCAGCAGCAGCAGCAGCAGCAGTAACAAGTAACTTTTGACCATAAAATAAATAACTTTTCAGCTGTCCGTCGCCCCGTCTCGGTTTCCGTCCATCTTTTTGTGTGTGTGTGAGTGAGTGTGAGTGTGTGCCGGCACAAAAATGGCCAAAAGCAGGAGCAGGAGCAGCAGCTAGCACGAAATAATTAAGTTTGCAACGTTTTGCGGAATCTGTGCCGGGTCCGGGATTTTGTTGGCTGTTGCCAGCCACTATGTCTACGTGTGGCCCGTTACATGTGGCTATTAAAATTACGAGCATATCTCATATCTGCTTGCTTAGATTGTAAAACATAATCTGTTATCAATTATTTTTAGCTGCGTGCCTTTTGCCGGCCCAGCTGAAAACTTGCAAAAAGCGCTCACGTTGCATTTGATGTAAGGCAAAAAGAAAACTTTTCATACACTACAACGACTATTTATGACTTAGTTAAAATTTTTGGCCTGTAAGCAATTTCATTTGCTGCGCCTCAACTTATGCTATGCCCAACCTCATAAAGATGGTCAGCCTAATCGATTTTAGACTACTCACCGAGTGCGTAAGCTGAGTGAACTGTTCCACAGTGCAAAACTTAATTGAGTTTTGTGAACCAGGCACCAGCAGAGTCAGCAGTCAGCAGTAAATTAACGAAGAAGCTCATTTATCGAAAGTGTGAAATCTACTAGCAGACATGATGTAGTCAATTTCGTTATGAGTTTTAAATTTATGGAACCTAAAGCGAAATGATTGACAAGTGTAACTGTTGCTCTAACAATATAATTGATTAGAAAAATGAAATGAATAGAAAAATGTAAGTAAGAAGTTATAGTTAATGGTAATGAGGCTCTCTGATAATTAATGCATCTGCTTTTGTTTTATGGCATTTCAGATTCTCTTCGATTGTTTTCAATGTCGTTGCAAAAGAGTTGTTCGAAATTAATGTCAAATTCTAGCCTATGAATTGATATATAGGGCAGGCATCAATTGTTTTTACTTTTGTCAATTTCAAAGCCAATTTGATTGTGATTTTACGAGCCTTGCAGTAGTTGCTTGCAGCATATAAAGAAATTACTCGTAGAAGAGCTGCAACTGCATGCGAACCAGCTTGCAACCGTCACTTTTGTTGCAGGGAAACAAAAAGCGTGGCGGAAACAAGAGACTACATTCAATGCACATTTTGTTTACCAGCAACTGGCAGCTGATTAACAGTGACAGGGACGGGCAAACATGTCCTGGTTGCAACTTTGCGCAAAAGAAAATTATTATGGTTAATGCGGTGCGCTATTGTCGTCGGCCATTGTTGCTGCAGTTGCTGCTGCTGCTGCTGCTGCTGCTGCTGCTGTTCTTGTTGTTGTCGTTGGCAGTGCAAATATTTTACACGCCACACAAACACAAATACAAACGAAAGTACAAAGCCAGCTCCACCAAAGCGCACAAGTAAAAGTAAATTATAAGCAAAAGCCAACAATGCGACGCAATGTTGAAATGCAGCTGATTGTGCGCGAAAAGTTACATTTTTTATGTATTGTTTTTTATTTTTTTTTTGGAGCAAGACGAGAATTGGATTGTATAGAGCGAGGAGAGCAAGGATAACGAGAAAGAAGTAAAGAAGCAACAGCAGTGGGAAAAAGACACTGCACGGTTTTCAGTTAACATGAATTATTATTGCAAAGTGGGCGACGGGGATGCCAGCGTCTTGCCAACTGGTTCAAGATGAAGCCATTGTGGCAAAAAGACGCAGGCGATGCCTTTTGTCGTCCTCTCTGTGTGCCACAGAACTAAGACTCGAGCGCGTGCGCCTTGCCCCAACCAATCCGAGAGACATGTGAACAGTGTCATTATATTTGACACAAGCTTCCAAGGGAAACTTTTACGGCATCATGATGAGCTGCTTAAAGATTCCCCACTGAGATTTCATAATGAATTATTGTTGCTAGTAGGTATAATATGCCTTCGACATAAAATGTCGAAACGTAATTTCTTAAAATCCCACTTGAAGTGAAAGTCAGAACAAATTAAATTGCTACTTGGGCTTTACTGATTTGATTTGGTTCTTAAAAGTTGTTTTTTATTTTATGTATTTTTTATATCGGTATATTTATTATCAGATTATATAAGATGATATTAATATATACCTAAATAAGATGTATAAATGTGTAGGGTATGTCTAGTTTGATACATGTCCTCTCTGTGTTGTTGGGTGTTTTGTGTAGCATACTTCTGTGCGCTGAGGAATCAAATAAGCCGCGCGCAGCGTGCAAAGTTGACAGCAGGCTATGAAAGTTGGCTTTGGCAAGAGTAGTCTGCGAAGCCTTTGTTTGCCGCGTTCTTCATGCCGAGATTTCATTCTACTACTATTTGGGTCATGGGGTCGTGGCGTGTGCAAATTACAACAAGCAGCAGCGGCAACAGCAAAAGAAAAGCTGCGTGAATCGTGAGTCGTCGTTGCAGCCTCGACATGTCGACTCAACATTTTCAAATAATTTCTGATTAACCACCCAACAACCCAACCAACCAGCAGCTCGCCCACATACCCTCTGAGCACCATTTGGCGCAAGGCAGGTCCGCCATGCTGTGTGACAAACGCAACGGGTGCAAATGCAACACTGGCAACACGCTGACATATTGCGGCGCATAATTTACTGTTGCTTATGCTGCCACTTTTTTTCTTCTTTTTTTTCGCCGAGTGCAACTAATTTTTGTTTGTTGCTAAAGCAAAAGCCACAAAGATTTATGCTTGAAAAATTATGCTTTAAAAGTTGAGCGTATGTCTTCGTTGCAGTTGCAGTTGAAGTTGCAGTTGTTGTTGTTGTTGTTGTTGTTTCATCCGTTGTGCTTAAGTAATTTAATATACTTTAATGTCAGCTTGCACTCCCTGCTCCTTTGTCTTCCATATATATACACACTCACATGCATATTAGTGTATGCGCATATAAAAGACGTGTGTTATAAGTGCGGAGTGTTGCAAGGGGCAACAGAAAGAACGCAACTACAACGAGCAGCGAAATGTTCATAAAAATGTAAATGTGGCAAACGGCACGAGCTGGAGGGGGCAGTAAGTGAGAAATCATAATAAAAGCGTGTGTGGGGCAAGTAGAGGAGAGAATGTGCCACCAGAAGAAGGCAGCCAAAGGTTGCCAAATGTGTACTTGTATGTGTGTGTGTGTGTAGTGTGTGTGTACTCGTTGTGCTGACATTTTAAGTGCATCTTTGTGAATTATTTAAACAAAGAATAATTACACAAGACATTATAAACTGAATGCGACAGAGTGCATAAATATGTCTACTTCAAATACTAGGTCCCCCTTTATACCTCGTTCTAGAAAATAATCTAAGTATGTGGCACTAGCATTTTTCCTTTAGCTTCCTTTATTTTTCCTATTCGAATATGCATAATATAAAAACATATAAATCCAAATGGTTGTGAAAAAGAGTATACACAAAATCCTTTGCAGAACCTGTTTAAATTTTTATTGAATATTTTAATGACACACATATATTTATATATTTTGGTTTTTATTCATCTTTACTTGACTAATTAATTTATATATATATTTATAAATTTATATTGTTGTTTGTTTACATATTTTAAGGTGTATAATCAACAAGTTATTTTTTGTTTTTGTAACCAAACCATAGACATAAGTATATATATAAATTCCACTCAACTAAGCAAAAATAAAGACATAAACCAAACAGGCGGCAATGCAAATGGCATCAGGATTGGGTGGTGCTGTTGATGGTGGACTATGTGTGGTGGTGGTGGTGGTGCTGCTCTTGCTGCCGCTGCTTGACGGCTTTCGCACACTTTCCGCTTTGTTATTATGCGTATTATGCAAACCACACCCACCATTCTTACAGCTTCCACTCCCGCTCTGAATGCCACTTACATTTTACTTTACGCGCTCTTGCCGCGTATTTTTATAGCCATTTGCTTGGCGGGAGCACGCAAAAAAAGTAGACAGCACTCAGTTGCCACAAAAAAAAAAGCAAGAGAAATAGAAAACTTCACCATGATCTTATACGACTGCAAAATACGCTACATACTCTGTTATTAGCAGATAAATAATACTCTATAAAAAATTTGTGTATGTGTTATAAATATGAATGGATTTTGATCGATAGATCTAACATTTGAGATCGATAGATAAAGACTCAATTAAATAGTAATAATATATCAATTATAAGTTATTAACTTTTACTTATCATAATTTATCAATAGATGTACCAGTGAAATCAACACATGTTGGCCACTCTATTAGTCCCACTCAATCCTTTGCTTATAGGGTATTCGAAAAAAATCCGCTTTGCTAGGTGAGTGGCAAGGAGTGAGTGAGTGTGGCACATATAAGGAGAGCAACGAGTAATGTGAATGTGTACTATGTGCTGTGTTGAAAAGCACTAAAAAGTATTATCTAAATGATAATTTGTTGCTGCTTGTCTGTTTGTTGAGTAATGTAATTTTATGTACAGCAATGGGAGCTGTCATGCATAAACCAATGGAGACAAAGGCTCGAGTTGCTACGCTCCCTTACTATCTCTAACCCATGTTGTATAGACTATAACAGCAAGAAAGAGAGATAGCTGGTCCTCTCTTTTTGCATGCATTATGTGCGTAAAGCATATTTCCGCTTCCGGTTGCTGGCCAAGTCACAAAGGCGCACCATTCGCTGCTTGCCGCAAAATGAAACAAAAGCCACTTGGCTCGTTCATTTTCCTTTCTTTTCTTTTTGTTTTTTTGGCAAGTAGAAAAGAAAAGTCTCAACTATTTAGATCAAGTTGTGCGAAGACAATTCAATTCACGTTCAAGAACTTTTTACGAATGTTGCGAAACATTCAAAGATTAGCTTTTAGTTCCATTTACCTGCACAGATCTACCAAATCAATTGCACATTTTGCGCAACTTTGGACAAACGCAATGCAATTAATTGCGACAAAGTTCAAAATTGAATTGAGTACAGAGAAATCGACGGACATGTCCGGAACTCTATTGGTCAAAAAGAAGAAAAAAAAAAAATGCCAGACAAGAGTCAAAAGAGAGCACAGCATCGAATGCAATAAGATAGGACTGAGCAGACTGAAATTCGATTCGGTTGCGCTCGATTGCGTTGCATTTCAATATAAATATTTATTTTATTTATATAGCAATACACAACTGGACGATGGGGCGACAAGTTGCAGCTGACAGTAAAAGATGTTGTGGAACCCATTTGTTTTAGTCAATGGCAGCGGCACAAAACAAAGTCAGAGCTACACAGAAACAGACACAGACACAGACACACACAGTTCACTTGAGTTCAGTTTTAGAGCCGTTCAGTTCGATTGCAGCACGGTATGCTGCATTAGAATTCAATTTTCAAACTGATTTCGTATCTATATGTATCTCTACGCATATATATCTGTATCTCTGTGCACTGTGTACTACAGCTAGTTGCTCGAAAGCAGCGCCATAACTTTGGCTTAGCTGGGCGCTTCCTCTGGCACCGCCTCTGGCTCTGCCCCATGGGGTATGAGACCTGAGCTGGTAAAGTTGTCAGATGGATTGAGAGCCTCAGTTGTGAAAAGTAAATTGTGTGTAATGTTTTTTGGTATTTCTGTAGTTGGTTGTGAGTTGGTTCTGTTGGTGCCCATCAGCACTGCAATAATTGAACTTGTCTAAATGAAATCAACCAACTGTGCAATTATTCAAATAATGATAACAATCGAACCATTCAACTATACCGATAATTGCATTACGATTGGTTGCTGATTAAGCACAGTAAATAAAGCAAATGCCATTGAATGTCAAAATACGAAATATTAATGCTTAGTCAATAGTGTCAGGCTGACAGCAGAGTATATCATAATATGTGCACAGATCTACAATTCTTTATGTGTGTCCTACTTTCTTGTGCATAGCAAAAAAATGAGAGTACACTTTGAAAGAATATAGAAAAAAGTTAGGTGACTTTTAATGCAATTTTACATTTGGCTGCTAATTATTTGCATATTTCTTTGCGTGGTGCATGCGACGTGAGTCCCGGTGTTGTCATTGAGACGAAAGAAGCAGTTGAAAGGGAGAGTGAGAGAGAGAGAGAGAGAGAAAGGAGGATCTGTGGCTGGAGTGGTAGCAACTTGGAGTGCTGTCGCTAATTTGAAAGCTTTTTGCGTAAGACAAATGCAAATGTCAGGGATGTGCGCAACGTTGGCAACTTTTTCATTTTGTATTTTGCATTTGGCTTGGGTTTTGCAGTTGTCATTTTACGTTGTGCAAATGTCAAACTTATCGACGCTAAGCCACGTGCCCCGACCCGAGCAGAGGAGGTGGTGCATTGTGTGGCCAGAATGACGGCTCCTTCACATTGCCAATACACAGACAGACACACAGACACACACACAGACACATGCACACCCACTTCGTTGTGTGGCACGCCAATGTTGCACGTTCAAATTAACTTTAATGAACTCAGTTTAGTTGCAAATGAGTTACAAAACTCGAAAACACATTGAGACGTGTTTAGTGCACAACATGCATCGTGCCTGGAAAAATCGGTATGTTGCCAGAAATAAGCTCGACCTTACCTAGTATTTTCTGTGGTTGCAACAGCATGCTTTAATCTGTATTTTCTTTTAATGGCTGCGTTACAATTGCAGGTGACAATTTGCCAAATCTGATGAAACTATTTAATATTTGCTGCTTGAGTCTCCTTCTGCAATAGATTCTCAAAAATAATAGAACTTGCCAATTTCTGTTCCTTAAAGCCTTCCTTCGCAGTACAAGTTTAAAAATCGTATATCAGCTAAAAATTAAAATTGAAATTTATGCTTAAGGCTATGTGGATGAAAATTGAAAAAAGCAAATTTAAATAAAATGCTGCGAAAGTTTTTTGCGAATCGAGTCAAAAGTCAAATTTTATGTTTGTGACAGTTGGGAGATTGCAAAAATTTCCATGTTTGGCAAAAGGTTAAGGCGTCCGCTGACAAAAAACTTATACTGCTAAAAAGTTCACACGGTATACACGCAACAACCAAAATGCCAACTGGCTGTCTGTCTAACTGTCTCCATGCCACGCCTCCATGCGACAGTGTTACGTAAAAATGTGCTAATACTTGGCAGAGACTTTCACTAAGCCAAGGCTGATTTTTAAGCAGCTCAAATTGTTGTTGCTGCTGTTGCTGTTGCTGTTGTTGTTGCTGTTGTTGAGATTGTTCTCGTTGTTGTTGTTCTTGTTGGCATAGGCCTTGGCAATTTGGTGTTTTTGTTATGCTGACAGTTATGCTTATTTATAGGCGTGTTATTTTGAAAGCATTTCGAGGGCTGGCAGCATTTTTAAGCCAACAGAATTTATTGGCTTGCTGTGTGCCGATTAGTCCAATATTGAGATTATGGACGGATCGAAAGCCATTTCAATTTGCGGCTTATTACGCACCCTGAGAAAGGCTTAGCCGCGTCTCTCTCGATAATTGCGACTGTCAATTGCAGAGTTGTCAGGCAATCGAATTGGGTTTTCTATCTTTTTTTTTGTTAGTTTGGGGGGTTCATTGAACCGCTTTGAGCTGCAATCGGCAAGCGAGTTTTTCCGGCTACAGGCGGACGGCTTGTGGCGCTTTTTCGGGCGATCGGCCAAAACAAAGAATCGTTGCGAAAACCAAACAAATTGAAATAACACCAGATAACTGGCGAGTCTGTCTCATGTTTGGCCAGAAGTGTGCGAGCTGCCAAAAAAGTGTGAAAACCACAGCAGCAGCAGCAGCAGCAGCTATGTTGGCCAATTGTGACGGTTGTGTGGCCATTGAAAAAGTGACTAAATGACTGGCCAACTGACACATATAAATGGCGGCTTGACTTTTAGTGTGTGTCTGGCATTGTTGCGGTTTTTGTGGCCACCATTTGTGCACGTCAATTGATTTATCTCAACAATAAGCAAACTGCCAAAGTAGCCACTACAATTATATTCAGCCGCAACCGGAAAGTATGCTACGCTTATTTAACACGAAACCTCAAAAATTCATAATTAATCAATTTATGCTTTTTGTTTCCGCATCGGCTTAGGGAGGGTCTAACGTTTTTAATGCCATTTCTTTTGTCAAAATTGACGAACTTGTCTTGGTCTCTATTATACATTTAATTATGGCTCAAAATATCCCATTGTCCGAAATAAATCTTTAGAGTTGAGTTTTATTTAGTGTACATCAACAAAGTGCACAATACAATATTGTTTGCAATGTCATCTTTAAATCTTATATGTACATATTAACTTAATGCAGCTGCAACTTCAATGTAGTACAAACAACTTACGGTACTTATTTTCGCTGCGAAGGTTATTGGGTCAACGCCAGACAACTGATAAAATATTGCCGAAAAAATGAGTAATTGTAAATAGTTTTTGATAAGATGGTGCTGAACTTGAAATATTTGCAAACTGGTTTTAAGTTTGTTGACTCGCCGATAAGGCAACTGATAAGCAAAAACAAGTCGTATATCATCATATAAAAGCAATCATATATTTTGCAACTAGATACAGTTACAACACACGTTCCATCACAGCAAGATGACTCGATTGGTATTTTTGTGTACATTTTTAGTGTTCACTTGTGGCAGCAGCAGTGCCACACCTCCATATGATGGTCGAATTGTGGGCGGACAGCTGACAGATATACGTGATTTTCCCTACCAGGCCTCAATACAATTGCATGGCCAGCATATCTGTGGTGGCGCCATTATCGGGGATTACTTCATACTAACTGCGGCTCACTGCTTTACGGAGCCCTGGGTTGTGCCCGACTACAGTGTCCGTGTGGGAGCCACAGAGCACGCCTCGGGTGGAGAATTACTCAGCCTCCGCCAGATCATACGCCATGGAGCCTACAATAGTCAGACACATGACAACGACCTGGCCCTGTTGCTGCTCAATGCGAGGCTTAACTACACCGAAGTACTGCAAGCGGTGCAGTTGGCCAGTGCAAAGGATTTACTGACGCCGAATACGCGACTCTTAGTCAGCGGCTGGGGCTATCAGAGCGAGAGCGGTGAGGAGGGCGTCTCGCCAGCGTTGCGCTATGTGGATTTGGCTGTAGTGGATCCACAAATTTGTCGTCACGCCTATCGCAATGTGTTGCCCGTTACCAAGCGCATGCTCTGCGCCGCTCGCGACGGTCAAGACAGTTGCCAAGGTGACTCCGGTGGTCCGCTCGTCGGTTATCAGCCGGACGGCACACAAGGCAAGCTCTACGGCATCGTGTCCTGGGGTATTGGCTGTGCGCAACCCGAATATCCGGGCGTTTATACGAGTGTGGCGTCATTTAGGAATTGGATTGATGCACAGGTGGGCGCCTGGGGCTGGAATAGTCTGCTGGCGGGCTGGAGTGGTCTACAAAGATTAAGTTAGGGCAAGTGATAGTAACAAAAAAGTTTGAGTTAAAGATTGGTTTAAGTGTACTTTAGATAATACGAACACAAAACTGTAAGCAATTAAAAATTCAATTTACAATATTGTAATTAAAATTTAGAAGTTTTACACCTAAAATATACAAAGCAATATTTTAAAATATTTTGTTTATGATGATTAAAATTATTTTCTAAAAGAATGGTAAGTTTCAGTGGCAAAGACTTGTTATAATTGTGTTCATTCATAAATTGCTTAGATGGATTTCCATTATCGTCATCAACTTGTTTGCATATTGTACACTTAAGTTTTAATTACAAAAATGCAGCAACTACGTTTCCAGATACAATTAAGCAAATGTGGGCCTTTAGATCAACCAGCAAATGTGGCTCATACTTCAAATGATGAGAGCTGAGCTTGAAACTAATTCGGATTCAATGAATATGTGAACATCTTGGCTGGCAAATAAATCGTTGGCCACATGCCGGAGTAAACATCAAAATGCAAGGCAAGCGAACAAACACAGAGACATGTTTATTTATAAATATGTACATATATGCATACTTGTGTAAACTGTGTTGTATTTCATTATGAGATAAAACAACCTGCACTACAACAACAACTTATTAGTTTAGACAAAAATAAATTGCATAAATATTTAAAGCAGGCAGCACGACCGAAAGCCAAACGTGGTTGCATCTGGCCAACATCTGGACATGTGCCTTGAGGTCAGCAGCAGGCAGCAGCAGCAGGCAGTAACAGCAGTAAACAGCAGCAGCAGCAGCAGCAGCAACAGTAGTAAGCAGTAAGCAGCAGCAGCAGCAATCAGCAGCCTGGGGCCAACAAGTCAGAGACCGAGGGTGAGTGGATTCAGATCTCGTAGATAGTTGGATGCTGCATGCATTTCTAACAGATGCGAGTACATTTCACAGATTTTAATTTGTTTTGCCGTTAAGCAAACTGTGTAAGTGTCTGGCCTGACGATAAGGCTTACACATCTTGCTAATTGTTTCATTTTGCCTGGCAGTCAGCAAACATTTCAAACTAAATTTCATTTACAGTGCTTTATGCGTATTTTCAGAAATTGCAATTTTTGCCGCCACTGCCTGCTGTCATATGAAGGCTGCTGTCTGCACTCCGTATGCTAATTACAGATCAGCTATTAATTAAACATGCCAGCTCAAAGAAGTTAATAAACGCAAATGACATTCAAAGTAGCAAATAACGTTTGCAACAGGAGACCGACGAGATGTCAAATATCAATAGTGATTCCCATTTTTTTCTCCAACTTATTTCGCAATATGCCAATGCATCATGCATTATGCACTAAGACCTACACACACACACACACACATATGTGTGGAAAACAAGGAGAAGCGATACTTTCCAATATTGTGCTTGCCAACCACAGTGCATCAGCTTCTCCATCAGTTTCTGTTTGATATAAACAGCACAAAACAAAAAAAAAAAAGAATAAACCCTTGCAAATTTCATAAAATTCCACTTTGTATACAAGCTTCTTTGGTATGGGGTATAATATTAGAAGACACTACAAATATCAAAGGAAAAATATTAAAAAATATGAAAAAAAAACTATGACTGCGAAAGTTCTTAAAGTTCTCATAAAAATATGTAAAAATATAGACTAAAATTTTTAAATGAAGTAAAATGCATTAAATTTGGAGTTATGAAGTTCTTAGAAAAAGACTTAGCTGGTGAGTATAAATTCCAGGGTATCAGAGAGTGTATCTGGTATGTGCTTAACTCACATATTGCTGCGATTTATGGTTGCTACATCAATAGACTTGTAAATATGATCAATATGCGCTGTAAATATGCGAAACGTGTAAAATATGTGAAATACATACGAGACGGGCGCATAATACGACCCCAAACCTATGAACGCCACAAGGGTCCTGTGAAAATTGGCAAGGATTGACATGTAACAACAGAGGAATATGCACTTTACTGGCAGAATAAAACCCTCAAAAGTACACGAACTTGACTACGAAATACCCTGTGACTTGAGCTAAATCTTATGCATTTAAATTATCTATTATTAATATTTATTTAATATCGAACTTAATTCGCAAACTTTTCTTTCATTATAGTCAAATATTTCTAGTTCTGTTAAATACATATTGACACTATTCTCATTTTACGGGGTATACTAAAATTAAGCAATACCAATCGATACATCATTGGATATACATTTCGTTTCTATGCTATCACATTACGGCCCTTTAAATTTAATGAAATTGTAATAAAATTAAGCAGAAAAAATTATGTCGCAGGCGGTCTGAATACGTGATGCATTGGGATAGACATACGCACGTGGACTTTCCACCACAATACTCTTGGGGTTGACTATTATCGAGAATTTTCGGACTTCAACATGATTTTATTTCCTTTGCAGGAGCCACACAATAGTCCGATGATGTTTGTCTCGTACATATATTTTTTAAAGTCAAAGAAAATATATATATGATAAACATTGAAAGAGCTCCAAGTAGATATTTATGTAGTAGACGTATTTTTGAGACCTCGAGGATTAATAAACTTGGTGTTACAAAAAAGAGTATCTATCGTTCAAGCACTATCAAAGCTTAACCTGATTATTTTACATATTTTAATAATATTACCTGACTGGCATAAATAATTAGGTGTTGCAAAGTTTGTCGGCTATAAATAAGATGAAATTGGTTGGGGGAGGCAATCGACCTTGGTAAGCATTACGAAACGGAAAGAACTGTAAAGTAGGCATTCGAGTGTTGATATACCACTCGAAATTTTTAGCCTGAATTTCTATTGCCATTTCTCGCTATCTGCCATGTTGCCAGGCAGCTACATTTTGTGGATGGCACTAGGTGCCATCTTCCTTCGTATTAAATATCCTTAAGATGCTTAATGTGCTCTTTTCCGTGGCTGTTTTCTGTCTGCTCTTTGCTGTGGCGAATTTCGTTCATTTGATGCGATTATGTTCAACTGAAGAGTGCGTAAAATATTTCTGTTATTGATTGACAGCAAGCAGAGAAAAATGTTGCTGTCTGGAGACGTTGAGATTTTCGAATACAAAATACCATGCGGTGCATTGAAGAACATTTTAATGTTTAATTTAAGTTATCATAATTGAGTTCGGAAACGAGTTGAGCACTTGAAGCAATAAGTAACAAATAAAATGGTTATGTTTTAATAATTTTGCTATGTTAAAATGTTATTTAAACACATTACGCTATATTTTTCATATGTTTTCAAATGAAGCTTTTGTATTTGAAAGTCTATCAAGTTATTGTTGATTTCTGACTATTAAAAGTGGTTTAACAAACGATTAATGTTTCGTGAGCTTAAAGTAGTCCAAACCAGGATTTTCTTGCCTTATTGGTGAAACTGTAACAAGAGTTATTTGTATTTGTGTTTGCCATGCGCCATTGCGTATACGTAACGTGACATTCTTTATAAATGTATATATATGGCTGCGGGCCGCCGTTTGTCGACTCACGAATGTGCGATTTTTGTAATATTTCGCCTGGCTTTTGGGCGCGTAATTGTGAGTTAATTGCGTGTAATTGAGAACGCTTTTAGGCAAAAGACGCATCATAAAACACGCGTCGGCCAACCCCAGAGCATAAATCTTTGGCAGGCGGGAGTTAATTGCCGGGTGGCAACATCAATTACACCATTCCAAAAATTACAAAAAATAAAATACGTTGCCGCAAACTCTTGACACATAAATTATGCAGTCATTTTTTGTTGTTGTCGCATGCCGCTGGCCTTAGACAAACTACCAAAAACGGTGAGTTTGACATCAGGGAAATAAACAAACACACACACACACACACAGACACATAACCAAATCAGCGAGTCTTTATTTTAAAATGCGTGTTGATTATGCCATAACGGTGAGTAAACAGATGGTGGGAGACTGTGAGGGTGGGTAGCAGGGCAAAAGTGTTGCAAAGTGTCAGTATTAAGGATGAAATTAATTACAAACGCTTACTTAAGTCAAATATTTGTGCAACCGACTCCCACACTCAAACACACAAAATGGAGTCAATCTCCTCCCCTCGCACCTTCAAGAAGTTGCGAACTGACAAAGTCAAGTTTTCAACGCGTTTTTTCTTTGTTGTTGTTGTTGTTGTTGGTCGTTGGGGGCTCTGCTTGGTTGGGTGTGTCTGGGGTCTTTTGGCGTCATTTTACATGACCCACAGGCGAGCTGTAGTAAGCCGAGGCACTTTGTCAGCCTTAAGGCAACGCGAAACTGAGCAACTCGTCCAAAACTAGAGTAAGTTTCCTCTTATTTTTGTGTCCTTTTTGTTTTTGTTTTGGTTTTCTGTTTTTTGTTTTGTTTGTTGTTTTAAGCGCCACTTGAACATTTCATTTGTCATCCTTTTTGCTGTGCTCAAAGTTCAGTGGCACTACCTGGCAAATGCCACGCCCATGCAACGAGCTGAACCACCCCGATTCCCGCTTGTACGCATATGTTGCGCCGCATTTTGACTGATTGCACAGGACAAGCAGCGCTGCCAACGACGGCTGGGCACCCAAGAAGAAGTTGGAGCAAAAAAATATGTACATATAGAATGGGAGCAGCGTCAAGTGACAGGCGGTGCTAACGGTAACGCTAACGGTAAAGTGTTGCAAATAGCTTTTTTGCGTTTTTGAATAATTTATAAGATGTGTTTACTCTTGAAACCAAGTGACTAAGTGTTGCCACGCTTGGCAGAACTCACAGCAACTTCTCCACCAGCCCCACCCAAGGCTGGTCAGAATCTTCGCTCTGTTGGACGGGTGGGTGTATTTGGCAAATGAAACATGATAATTTACTTAGCTGCAATGCGGTGAATGTACACGTAGCATAAAGTAGCACAAAGATTTGGCCCTTACCTCAATCTTCTGCAAACATAAAATAAAACGTCATGTTGCCTAATTTGACTGGACAACGGATGTTGTTTTGCAGGCGACGAAGTCCATATATATAGCTGGCAAATTTAAATATATTGTGAATAATTTCATCTACTAAAGTTGACAGAAAAAGTTTGTATAAAAGTAAGTGCAAATTAAGAGAGATTAGATAATCATAAACAATGGATTATAATTAGATTTATTAATATTAAGAAGTTGTTTCAA